GCGATATAATCCTCGGCTAAGACCGAGGCTTTGCGACGTGGAGGCGAGCGAGCGACAAATGTCGAGGTCGGCTAGGTACGAGCCTGGGCCACCCCCTCTGAAATCCTGTGTACATACGAGCCGACTGAAAATTGCTAACGAGTTTTACACTCTGTTTAACTATCGAATGACCCGAGGATTTCAAAGAGCAATTACAAAGAGGGTCGGCAATTTGCAGGCAATACATCGATAGCCGGTGAATCCAATTAAGCGATATACCCGCGGGGCGAACCCGCTTGGCTTAATATTTCCAGATTATTAATCGCTCGAGATTTTTTTTTTTTTTGCCGTTTTGTCGTTGTCTTGTTAAACGATGTCTCGCTCAATTATTTTATCAACTTATTGACGTTTAGCCGCGACGGCGCTTTTGGCATCGCTAGTCTCGCGTATTCTCGTGTACTTTAGATGCAATGGGACTTTCTCTTCTTCTTTTTTCTTTTATTTTATATTGGAACAACTGCTTGGCGATTGAATTTCGCGTGCCTTAATAAAACGATACGTTAACGACTCGACGAGCGAACGATTGGAACGAGTCGCTAATAGTGTCGATGGGAACTTTGGCGATTATCATATAAAATTAATTGCCTAATTATTGACAAAGTTAATGATAAATGTGTGCTTGCAAATGAGATGTAAGACACGATATACGAAAGCAGTTTATAAAATGTCATATAGACTCGTAGTCGCATTATTTTGCGTCACAAGAAAATTTTTATTTTGTAATGGGAGTTGAAATTTTAATAATAAAGCGATGAATATAAACGAATTATTCTACCCAACTGAAATTCAGATATAAGATCATAAATTTTGCGTTCAATAAAGTCAATTAGAAGTGATGTAATAAAAGTGGATTATTAATTATTGTCCGTCTTTATTGTATATTGGTATTATTATTAGCATTACAATTTTATTCTGTCATATATGCAAATATACGGTAAACAAAAGATCTGTATTTGTAATGTATTTGGTATTCTTGAATATCTTATAAGGCGGAGAATTTTTAATTCAACGTATAGGTATAATTGAATCAAGTTCATCAACCCGAATGAATAGTCAAGTTCAAAGATACTTGTATTATCTACGTTATTTACTGAATTTTATCATCTTATATCAACAACGAAACACTACGTATGATTAATTCCATTTCTTCACCCCCGAAAAACCGTCAAAAGATAAATAATGCATCTTTGAATGCAGAGGCGTGCATCACTTTTAAGAAAGACTTAAGAAAAATCGACTCGATGAATAAAATGGGCACCTCAAAAGAACGTGATGCTATCGACTCTCCAATTTTATTTATATTATCTTTACTTTCCCTGCCGAATATATATATATATATATATATATATATATATATATATATATATATATAAAGAGTATAGTGAAAGATGCAGTTCTAATAAAAAGCTCAGCTGCTCTGCTCTCAAAATCCAGCACTTTATTACAGAGATTCGTGTAGCTATTAGCCAAATATACAAAACGAGAACCTACAATCGCAGTACCACATTACAAATAGTCATAGAAAGTTAAGTCTTTCGTTACTTTTGCCTTTACTTTTTCCCTTCTCCTGATCCATACATCACTTATTGAAGTGCTGTCACGAAGGGCAGGAAATGTTGTACTCTCTGTCTTTCTCTTTATTCCTTCCTCGTTTTCTCATTCTTTCTCTCTCTCTCTCTCTCACACACACTCTCTGACTCTCTCTCTCTCTCTCACACTCTCTCACTCTCTGACTCTCACTCTCTCACTCTCTCACTCTCTATCTCTGTCTGTCTGTGTATATTTCGCTATCGGCGCGTTTCGTACCTTTTTTCGGTCGTTAGAGAGAAGTCAATCGAGCGTAAAGCTTTTGTCGATACGCGGAGACTAGGTACACACGCGATAAATTTTCCCAAAATACCCTCGATGCTAGCGAACGAAACGGAGAGAGAAAGCAAAAGATGAGGAGAGACTAGGACGAAAGAAGATAGATGGCGAAAAGCGTGCATGTTGCGGTCTTGTCGTTTTCGGATGAACTTCTGCATGTACGTGATATGGTGGACAAAATCCTGGAGAGCGGGTCGCTGACGAGTATAACTCTTGGATTAACGGTTACCTACGTGCGCTTGCGCGCGTATATGTGCATTTGCGTCAGTGTGAACGGCGATAAATTTTTGACGGTGTGAGAGAAATACGTAGAATTAACGTGTCGACAAATGGCTTGTAAACAATCTAGCTGATTCTGCCACTGATATATCTATAATTTATTCATTCATACGTACTATAAGTATGAGTGTTTGGGGCATTTGAAACAAAATAGCATTTATTCTAATAGAGGCTGAATTTATATCAGTAGTGTATCCGTACATAAAAAGAGACGATTATCAGTATTGTTTTTCTTTTGCCGATATTTTCATGCATATTTTACGTTGTCAGGATTCGACGTCGTCATTAATTAATATAATAAGAGATCATTTTGATTGTAAAGCAAAGCCTAAGCCATGGAAATTTGTACATACCGATGATTGCGTAATTTCGTGATTGCTAATATTTATTGCTATTTACAAGATAGATAAATTAGCATTTAAAAGTTCTATTACGAAGAGTATTTATTCTAAATATGAAAGAGTAATTTCTAGAATTTCTAGTTTTAGATAGAATAGTTTTACATATAGTTAACTGATAAGAATATGGTATTAATTATAGATGGAAAGAAGAAAAAAAGTAATGATATTATGAACATCTCGAAGAGTAAAGTAAACTGAATTTCGTCACTTTATTGACTTTTCGACTGAATAAAAGCTTGACTCTATTTTGATAAATCGGTTTTAATGGAAATACAAATACACAAATCATGTCACAGTAATACATCTTACTTGGTTCTAAGTAAAATGCAGATGCCAAGTAGTAAAAGTCTGCTAAAGAAAATAAAGACGGTTAAGAATGAAATTGAAGCAGGACGAATCATAGAATCTGATGTGAAAGAAAGATGGAACTTCTTTTACTCCTGTTATAATAAGAAGATGACTATAAAGGTTTTTGCTTCTCATAGTATTTCATAAGATATAGCGATTGAAACGTTTAAGAAATGTCAATATATTTCTCGAGTATGTGTCTTCTTTAAGTAAAATTAACTGAGAATACTTTTTCAAGTGTCACATAAAAGTATAAATAGACGTATTTTCTTATTCGAATTCAAGTCGATTATTCAAAAAATTCACATTCTCAAATTGAACTTTAACATTAATATTGCAGTACGACAATATTATGCTCAAATACAATTATACGTAATTACGGTCATGCTTTGACACAATTGTTTCAACTCTGGCTCAGATCAAAGTGCGTGCTCGTTTAAAAAAAAAAGAAAAAAAAAAAAAAAATAGAAAAAAATAGAAACATAATAATAATATTAAAAAGTATCGTCGTGCAGATGCTGAGTAAGGAGGGAATCGTATAATAACACTCGAATCGGGGAATAAAGGAGCTCAAAAGCTCAATGACCTTCGACTAGAACAGATCGAGAAATCAAGCGCAGCTTAAAAGATGTAACGTAGAAAGTGAAGACCCTCCCTCACACAGACTAAATAGTGCATACGCACTTACGCGGTAAGGTAAGCCAACACGCAGGAGAAAGGCATTTTTTTAATGCCTATACGTGGAATTATTCAGCGTCTCGCTCCTCGACTTGTCATCGGCAACAATGAGAATGAATTCGTCGTCGGCGCGCGCCGTACGGTAACTCACGGAAAGAAATAACTACGATTTTGAACCCCTTGGAAGCGCGCGTGCGTTCTCCCTCTTTCTCCAATTTCATTTAGCTTACTCCCCCCCCCCCCCCCATGCTTTTTTTTTTTTTTTTTTTTTTTTTTTTTTTTTTTTTTTAGCGGAGGAGGTGGAGGAATCAGAGAAAGAGAAAGAGAAAGACCGGAGGTTAGTTTCCTTCTCGATCCGTTTCTCCTTCCCTCCCACTCTCTCACCCTCACTCTCACCCTCTCACCCTCTCACCCTCTCACTCTCTTTTTCTCTCTTTCTCACTCTCGTTCTTTCTTTTTCTTATACGGTGAATAGGCACGTGTAGGAAGGAAGGCTAAAGAGAATAAAAATATATTTGTGATTTATTGGCTCGATTGTATAGTTGATCGGTGGAATTCCCGGTAAAAATACGAAAATACTCGAACGAAATTGGCCATACTTGTCGTCTGATCGTTCCTGTACGTGTGTTCGTATGTTTGTGCATCCGCGAGTATGTTTTTCAGTTAAATTGATTTTACTGGCATTCGGCAACACTCTTCAATTTTCTTTGATTTTCAATCATTTCTATTCGAGACATTAGACAAAATTTAGAGAATACAGGTGATTTTACGATATTCTTATCGTACAATAATTCCAAAGCATAATTTTAACGATTTTAACGATTGAGCTATTCCGATAATAAGAGGGATGCATTTTATAACAATGTATTATTAATTAATTAAGTCGAAAATTCAAATTGCATTGCCGTTCATTAAGAATTACACTCGCTAACTGAAATATAAAATAAAATAATAACGTGAAATACTTATAAATCATTTTGATTCACTGCAAACAAACAAAGCAATCATGTAGAATGACGATAAAAAGCCGATTTCAAATGTCGAATGATTATACTTTCGTATCAGTACAAGTCAAGTCGATCGTCTTATAAAAAGACTACATTAAGAATAAGGGCTTTGCATTACAAAATTCACCCCCCTCCCCTCCGCCCTCTCCACTACCACTACCACCAACACCACAGCCGTAATTGACACACTATGCTACAATCACAACAATAAATAACAAAACAAACGGCTAAAAACCAACAAGATACGCGTTTAATAATGATAAACCAAATCGCAACTACCGAATAATTGCTAAATAATCTGAAAATTTTAAAAGCCCCGAGAATTTATTATGAATGAAACAGTAGGCAAGCATGTGAGCGGTCCAGAGAATAATCTGAGTAGAGTACAACATGATTTCAGGTCACAGCGGTGTGAACCAGCTCGGGGGTGTCTTCGTCGGAGGGCGGCCACTCCCCGATTCGACCCGACAGAAGATCGTCGAGTTGGCCCACTCTGGCGCGCGGCCCTGCGACATCTCGAGGATCCTGCAGGTCAGCAACGGATGCGTCTCCAAGATTCTCGGCAGGTTGGTTGAAATACTGCATGCGTGAGAAAACCCGTCGCGTACGTACCTACGATACGCGGAACTCCTCCTATTCACATCTTCCTTCGTGCTCCAAAAACTCGTAACTTCGTCCCCTTCGTCCCTCCGTCCCGACCGCCCACACGCCGCCCCGTCTATCCCCACTATAACCTAAGATTGACCCGAGGCCACTGGCCTTTTCTAACGCTCGATTTCTATGCGCGCTGGTGTAAAAGTCACCCTACCCCGCGCACATATATCAATACGCGTGTGAAACTTCTCGGAAATATTGCCTCGTAAAAGGTAAACTATTTCTAATTGATTTATTTGATTATTTGTCTGTGTGATGCCGACGAGCTGCTCGTGTTACTAAACTACCCGTTTATCTACCTCCAATTCATAAATGAAAATTTATGTTACCATTACAATAGTATATAATGCGTGTATATGGGTAACGTACGAATGAAATTAATGCCTGTTGGACGTAATTGCTGAAAATGCGAATATTTACGCTCGAGCATGAAAAATCATCTATCCTTTACGGGCATCTAGCCGAATAAACTGACATTGTAAAGATTAATACAATATCGAGACATCTCGAATTAACCCCATGTATCCAATCAATCATTACTACAACTGTTACATTCAATGTTTATTTAAAAACTTACCTTTCCATCCAACATTATATATGTATATATATATATATGTATATATAAATACATAATCAGAAGAACAACGATAAGTAGTCGGTGTGCATACTTACTAGAGCATTTTTACAATGTTTGTTTTTTATTGTATAAATAGCTGAAAATCTAATGCAATGGATATATCAATGGAATGAAGATAAAAGCAGATATTATTATAACAATTGTCTTCTATTCGTTCATTACGTGCTTTGTACAAGCTTGACTGACATTAGAGAGAAATACTCACTACTCGTGTTAAAAAAAAAAAAAAAAAAAAAACCCACGCGATTGATCGAAACTGTAACCGAGATATGTCAAAAGTAAGCTCGTCAGACCATTTCATGTAAGCATGAAATAAAAGGAAGAAAAAAATTAATGAAATAATCATAAATATCCGCAGTGACGAGTAAGACCCGGGACGGGAGAACGATGTAAAGTACAAATTTATCTCGTACCCCGACCCAGAGAATTCATCAGACAATGCAGCAGCATCGCTTACAGCATAATGTGGAATGTTGATAGTAATGTTGTTAATTGTAATGAATTAGGGTGACTGATTCGCACCACTGGGCCTTTTCTTCGTAGGATAACGCGCGCGATGATTAAAGCTAATCGTTACGAACGAATCGCACAATGACACGAGGTACGTTAGAGAAGCTCGAGCCGTTCGTCAAATAAGTCATTTTTACGTAAATTGACAAATTTCGTAGAATCGTGGAAGTTGCTCGGCAGACAAGATCGATTGCACAGCCGTACAAATTCACCTTAGAGTACTACAAATTCGATAAATAAAGAAAGCATAGATATAATAGATATACGTATAACGACGTTCCTCGAATAACAGTTAAATTCCTCGTGTCACAGCTTTTAAAATTAGCGACACAACATCCTAGAGTGCTTCCTTCAAATATTATTTGTATAATATTACAACAAATACACTTTCATTTGTACGCGCGACCTGCCATTTGCATTGGTCATAATGCATCGACTAGGCGACATTATCCTTTTATTATCAAGATAATCGTTACTCGTCCTCGATATCTCATCAATAAATGAAATGGCGAAGGCTATTTCCATTGCAATACGGTTTTGTACGGCTCGAGCATCGAATTTCGCAAACTATTATCGCAAATTATTATTGTTGCAGGTACTACGAAACGGGATCGATAAGGCCCCGGGCCATCGGAGGCAGTAAGCCCCGAGTGGCCACCGCAGAGGTGGTTAACAAGATCTCGCTGTACAAGAGCGAGTGTCCCTCGATATTCGCCTGGGAGATCAGGGACCGTCTGTTGCAGGAGGGCGTCTGCACCAACGACAACATTCCCAGCGTGAGTAAGCTTCCCTAACGTTTCTTCATTCGTGGCGCGGGTGTACGAGAGAGAGAGAGAGAGAGAGAGAGAGAGAGAGAGAGAGAAAGAGAGAGAGAGAGCACGAAGAGCGCGATTATTCACGTGTCGATAATTCACGTGCCGTTGGCGCTGGAGGCGTCGCGATCACGAAAGCAGCGTCTTGTTGACTTTCACGATTGTCGGTCGATCAAGATCAGGCTATTGTCTATAATTAAACGAATCGTGTATTATGTAACGATGGGACATTGTGATGTGGCGCTTGTAATGCGAGTGCACGCGTGGGTGGGGTCGGTGGGCAATCTATTCACGTGTCGTTGCTAGGACCTGCTACGAGCTATAAATACCTAAATACCGAATCACTGCTGATCGCTTAACGCGTAGGGTGGAGAAGGCTACTTCCTCCTCCTGAAATAGAGCAAACATGTGCAAATAACATCTCCTGCCCGGATGGTCAGGACGGTAGTACGGACTTCCGTACGCGTGTCCCGCCCTCGTTTTCCGTCTAGAGAAATCTCGGGATGGAAGGCGTCTGGCTCGTGAGCTCTTGGTCGTGGCTCGATTCCCCTTCTTCCTCGCCCTTCTCCCCACCATCGAGGGGGGGGGGGGGGGGAGGGGGGGGGGGGGGGGGGGGGGGGGTACCATTTAATATCACCCACCCGATTACCAAGCTGTGACAGCTAAAACGCTAAAATGCTCATCACCGAATAAAGATTTAATCTCGACTGGCGTGTCAGCGTCTCGCTTCCGCATTCGGCTCTAAGCCACATTGCCAAATATGAAATTATTATCGATCACGGCGTGATGCTGCTGGCTATTAAAATAATGGCACGGCTTTATTAAAGAAAGCCAATGACGAGATAGAAAGTGTTGGGGATTATGAAGAGTATCGCGTCAATTCGAACTCAACATTTCCATCAAAATTAAAAATAATGGCTTTCGACAGCTTTGATATATAAGCCTTTCGTTATAAGTGACTAATGACATTTTTCAATTTTCACACAATGTTTGTAAACAACGGGCTTTCAGACAGTTTCATAATTAAAAAATCACCTGTACGCGCGTCAAGGAGCACTCGCTATTCGTTATATGTTACATCGACGGCGCATATGAGCAGACAAACATCTCATCTTTATCGGATATTCATTGAGTCGCTAACTAATTAACACTTTCGCGCGTCCCCTCTCGGAAAATTTGTTCACCGACTCTGTCTGTCTGTCTCTCTCTCTCTCTCTCTCTCTCTCGCCTATGCCCCCGCTCCTAACCACTCCACCCCACCCGCAGCCGATTCCACTCGCACTCACACTACCATTATACCCACACCCTCGCTTCCGAGACGCCCCCGAGCTTCATTGTCATCGCGCGGCATTGTGCCCTGATACAGACGCACAAAAAGCAGCATCGCATCCTTCCCGCCGCATTCACGTGAGACGAATGAAACGGAGAAGCGGCAGCTTAGCGACGGATATGCGTCTGCTCATAGGTTGGCGAAAAAGTTTCATTTGCGAGGCGGCATTGAATTATCGCGACCTCAAGCATAATCGCGCTTTTCATTGGCCTGCTGCATGCATCGTACGTACACGCGTCATTTTCAATCGACCGACAACTTTTCTCACGTCAGTGTATCTTGTTCAGTTTATCCTTTCAGTTTCTATTTTGCACCCCATCGCTGCGTTTGCGAACACTTCAAATCCAGGTTAAGAGGCTCTATTCATATATGGATGATTGTGCGACGTTTATTATAGAGAGTTTGATTCGTGCTTATAAGCCATGATGTTTCGCATGTCGTAAAGTCAGTCCTTCGTCAATTAAAAAGAATTAACATTATTATATTCACGTTATTGCACGTTATATATTACGGGCTAAATACAAAATCTACTATCAATCGCTGTATTATAAGCATTTACATAGATCATTGTACGTGTGCTCGAATCATGCATGTATGCTCTAATCTCGAAACATTCTACAATAATATCTTATCTAAATATGCAACCAATGTTGCGTAATTTTTTATGTAGCAATCTCGAAATCACTCTACACTGTATTATTCTAATATTCGTAACAGACAATTGTCAGAACAATATTTTTAATAATTACATATGGTAGATATGATAGAATTTTACTATTATTATAATGATGTACGTGTAGATTGATAAGTATTTTATATCGTTCTAACTATGTTATAGAATCTGTTAAATTCAATTTGTCTGATAAATTTATTACTAAATCAAGGTTCCTCGCGTGCTTTCACAAATCAAAAAACAAAAAAAAACAAAAAAAACAAATAAATAAATGGAGATTAAAATATTATACAAAAATTTGGAGGATATAATTATTATTATCATCATGATTATCATCATCGTTACAATCAACATCATCATTATTATTGTCATTATTATTTTTATTATTATTACAGAATTTTCAAGTGAGAGTAGAATCTTTCATATATGCGTACAAAACGTCATGAAGATGTGTGTATACATTCATGTGCGTAGGTAGACAACATAAGATTCAGCATTCCGCCTTACTAAGAAGAAAAGCGAAACGGTTGCCATGGATATTTGCATGCGTCCAATAAATGCTGGCTAAGGGTCTCTTTCTCTCTCTCACTCACTCACTCACTCTCTCACTCACTCACTCACTCTATCACTCTCTCTCACTCTCTCTCTCTCTCACTCTCTCTCTCCCTCTCTCACTCTCTCTCACTCTCTCTCACTCTCACACTCTCTCTCGGTCTCGGTCTCCGTCTCTTTCTGTTTCCACTTATAAGGCTAGTGGGAGGGTCGCTAAACTTTACTTCTAATACGCCGCCCATGTCTGTCTTTCCTTATATTATACGCTTCTTTCCTTGCCCCTCACGATTCCGACCCCTTGTACTCTTGGTTGAGATTCCTTCGTCTCGTCTTCCCTTCTCTACCCCCATCGTATACCAGGGTAATGGATTCGAAGTGTGCAAACTCCGCACGATTTTATACTTTCTAGCGCCCAAGAAAGTAATTGACTTTTGAGCACTGAATCTTTCGATACAAAAAGAGAATGTGCGTCTTTCTTTCCTCATATTTTCTTTCTTCTTATTTCCGATTGTTGGGAATTTATTTGATACTTTTTAGTAAATTTTATAAGCAAAGAATTCGAAAATCTCCAATTTGTTAAGGTATAGAACTGTGATGATGGTAATTTGTCCCAATAATCATGTGAATATCGCATTTATAATAATTAAATTGCAACAAATGATAGTTTGTGCTTTGACATTAGATACATACGATAACTTAAAAGACGATTTGACTTTTTCATTAATTTATATTAGTCAATATTTGTTTACATGCCCTATTACAGTTTCTAAATTTTACACATTTACTCGTGGAAAAAGAATTTAAAATAAAAGAATTTTCTAAACTACTAAACGGCATATCACGTGTAATCCCTCATCCATCCAAAAATAATTTCTAAAAGCGAAAAGTAAATGCCTATTTCATTCGGCAATTTAGTTGAAGCCATAATGATCGCCATTTTGCAATTAAAATAATGAAAATGGATGTCCTTTCGGAATAAATTTCGGAAATAAATTACTTTCTAGCATTAAATTCGAGCGCAATTATTTTAGTGGAATAGCCATTCATTTTTATGCTAACCCTTCGTATATTTATCCCTTCGGGCAATACGAGACTTATAAAAGAATGCGCGTCTTGGCCCTCTTCCTCAAGGGCAATGTCTTGAGCCTCGCTTCAGCGAATGCCGCTACCGGCTGAGAATTTCGCATTTTAACAAATTATCAGGGCTTCGGTAAAGGAGAGCCTCCACACTCTCTCTCTTTCTCTCACTTCCAAGATCCAATGCATAGAGACAGAGGAGAGAGAGAGAGAGAGAGAGAGAGAGAATAAGATAAAGCAAGGATCAAAGTCTCAGCCACAATCGAGCCGTATCCGCGCGCATCCGCCAAAGAGAAAAAGCGAATGAGACAGCGAGAGCGAGTGAGGGAGGGAAGCTACTGAACTTGTTGTGGCCGAGATTAACGTTTCTTTAATGGCCCGTGTAATATTCAATTACGCGCGGCCGCGGCCCACAGTTATTTTCTCGCTCGTTCGCTCGCTTACGAAGCTTACGCGCCTCTTCTTTCTTTGCTCAGCCAAATGCGCTAATCTTTAATTTAATCGTCTTTCCCAAATGTTTGCGAACTTTCCTTCGCCTATCTACAAGCTGGCCAATATCATTCCGCGCCTTCTCTTTTCAATCCCCGCCGCCATTGTTATTGCCGCTATTGTCGCTCATCGTGCTCTCACTACTATCAAAACGTCAAGATATTCGAAACGCGACGGCAATCGACTCGCTTGAGAGAAACGCCGCTCCTCCGCTCTTCATTGGAATTCACTGGAACTCAATCCGCGAATTTTCACCCTCGTGCATTTCACGCGAAAAATCATTACATCATCGAGCCAGCGATTTAAAGGAGAAGTCGGGATTCGAGCGGACTCCGCCGTCTTAATTGAAAAGCCCCAACGGTAGGAAAAAAATCGCGAAGAAACGCGAAGAGCCGATAAAAAAATTTCCTCCCAAGACCTCCAAGCGCGTTATACCTTCACAACAGAGTAAACGACTAATGGAAAAATGGAGGACGGAAACAAAGCAGTCCGACGTCGAGGACGGCGCGTTGAATCGTCGACCGTTCGATGATTGGAGGAAATTTCATTATTCTCAGGCATTACCCCCTTTATTGTAATGTCGTCAGATTCAATTCCCATCGTAAGCGAGTCCACGCTCCTCGCTGCCTCTGCTTTCCACAAAACGAATCACCCTCCAGCCCCGCTTCCCGTTCCGCAAAAATCCCGTCTCTCGTATCGCGATTTCATTGATCGCCGCATCTTCATTATTTCCACGTTCATTTCGCTCCCGTATCTACGCAATCGACTTTCTCGCTTTTCGCATTTTCAAATTTGCCATCCAATAGCAATCGTACGTCTCGTAAGAGTCTTTCTACACTTTCTACAAACGGCTAACCTTAC